ACACTATAAGTGTGCCACCACTTCACTAGGGGATCCAAGGGGTAAAACAAGAATCAGATAGTCAAATCCACCTTTCTTGAGGGTGGAGATGATAGTCTCACTGGGTAGTTCAGGCTGGCCTGGAGCTCACAGTGTACCTCAAATTGACCTCAAACTTGCGGTGTCTCCCTAGTGTCTCCTTAGGCTGAGGCTCCACCTCAGCCTCCCTAGTGATCACAGTGCCCAGCTGGGACCCATCTTAGATCTTAAGACAAAGCTTCTGCAGAGGCAATGGTGGTGCATTTCAGGCAGCATAAACAAAATGAGCAAGTCAGCACAGAAGGAGATGCACTTGTCTGTCATGTGTTAAAAGTGATGTGTGAATTATCTCTCTGGTTGGAGCTCACACACATCAGAGAGTGGCGCAGGCAGAGGAGAGATGAAAAGCAGATGGGAGTGTATTGAAACGATACAGCTATTGAAATGACTGGGTTTTTCCTTAATGGGCAGAAAAAAGTCCAACCATTGTAAGTTATCCCAGACTCTTAGATCTTATAATAGGAATTAGACTGAGATCTCAGTTTTATCTATATCCTTGCTTTGAACTATTTTACCTCCAAGTGTGAAATTTAGGATTAACTAAGGGCAATGTGTGGGGGTTGCATTCTGAACTGTGAAAATGAGCCCACAGAATGTGACTGCTACAGGCAGAGTTTTAAAAGTGGATTGATGCTCACTGTAAACCAACAGTGTGATGCTGCTCATTGAAATTCTGCCGGTCATTTTAATATAGCAGACAATGACTGACCCTGGTTGACCGTGAAAACGTAAGTGGCCGTGGGAGTGGCACTGCTGCAGGAGTGGCACTGTCACCCCTGCCATGTAAGAGGGTACCGTGAGACTGTGAATGAATGGAACAGCAGCAGGGATGACTTTGGAAGAAAGACAAACTAAATGTTAATTTTATAGAGTCCAAGATGCCTGAGCTTTGTAAAGCATTTTCGTTTTCTCAAAATAGAAATCCTAACACTAAACTCCAGGAGGCTGAAATCTAAAGTTACTTAGAGCGCTGAGGCCCTCGTGTGGGAAAAAAACAGTTAACACAAGTCTCACCCTGGAAGGAAATTCTGATACCACAGGAACACCAGCAGTGAGGGTCAATGACAATTCAGACTTTTGTTTCATTAGTGTCCCGTGGGTCTTTTAATAGTATTAGAGAGTATGGGAAATCAATCAATATGCATGCAATGACAATGTCATTTTTCAGACATGTGAAATGTATATGCTAATGCTTTAATTCACTTCTAGCTATAAGGCAGCATATCATAGGAAAGCTTTTGAAAAAAGCATAAGCTTGAGGCTGTCCATTCACTGTATCTGTCCACTGTGTCAGCTCCGAGATGGTCATTTTATCGATGCAGGATTATATGTGAACTCAAGAAGTGCAAAAGCCCGGTTTCTGTAGCCTAATATGCTGGAGGAAAACCAGGTACAATGAAGAAAATGTGGCCTAAAATTCACCCTGCACTCTTCACTGTGCAAAGTTGCTATTCCAACTAGCTGCAGTGGAAAATACCCACAGGGAAGTATCCTGAAAGAAAGGTCTGAAAGTATAAAACTCACTGGTAAGCTGAGGTACGCAAACTTAGAATATTGCTGTAATAATAGTAATCAGATTTTCATTTCAATTGTCTTTAGAGTTTTGATGGCCTTTTGTGTTTGTATAGTCATTTATACAGTTCACACTCTCTTCATCTTTGTATCTATTCTCTACTTTACCTTGCTCAGAATTCTTACTTAGTCTAAGAGGCTGACACCCACAAAATCACATTATCAGTTAGTTTAACTAGTGAGAAGGATGAATAAGATTAGTCGCATTTTCCATCCCTGGAACCACAGCACTTGGCACTGTTACTGAAAGGAGGAGAGGTTTAATTTGGTTCACAGTTTCAGTGCATTTAGACCATGGTTATCTGGCTCCAAGGCAGATACTCAGGTTGAAGGACACGGCAGAGCAAATTTGCTTAGCTCATGGCTGCTAGGAAGCAGAGCTGGGGAGCAGCACCAGAGGGAAAGGAGCTCAGGACCAGGTAAGGAACCCAAGGTCAAAATTCCCTGACCCTTCCAAACACACCCAGAGATCCACTTTAGGAACACTCTGGGCAGCTCCCAAGTTCACAGTGGGTGCTTCCTGCTCTTAGACTCTGCAGATTCCAGCTTTTCCTCTCTTTTCTTCCCTCCTGTGGGAGTTAGAGAAGTTCCTTGCAGTTGCTGTTTCTTCCTGTTGATACTCTCATCAATTCCAAAAAATCTGTTGAGAATTCCCACTTAATTAAAATCAGCCTTATAAACTACCTTGTGTAGAATCTCCTTTCCTGATTTAAATGACTTTTACAATGTATATATTGTTTTCAATCAAATGAGAACACAGACATTATAATATCAACTACTCACTGCATAAACCACACCGTACAGGGCTGCAAAACAAAGCACGAGGTGAATGGAAACAAACATCACGTGAGGATTCAGTCCAGTGTCTTCAGTAAGTGCCAAACCAAGGGTTAAACTTTGATAGACTCAAGGAGTAAGGCACAAGGAAAATATGGCAATAAAAATATTTATTTGTACAATTTTCCCATGCCTGATAGGACAATTCGAGAAGATGGGCTTACAGAAAGAGTGGCATGCAGAAGGCTTTATCTATGCAGACATTTTATAAGGACCCCACTTTCTTGAGGCAAGTAGGGAATACTGGCTTACTACAGTACCAAGTGGGCCAAATAGGGAAGAACACCTAAAGCACCCAGAGCTTTCTCTTCTGGCAGACCCTAAGGAAGGAATTCATGTGTGTGTCCCTTTCACCTGCGGGCGGATCCCAGGGCAGGGAGTCCCTTAGTTAGGACAGTGGATGGAGGCAGGGTCTGTTGCCACGCAGAAGCTGCAGAAGAGCGTGGCGGCTCTGCTCAGTGGGCAGCTAAGCAGGGAAGCAACAGTGGACCACAGCCTGCAACCTGAGCCCTCTGTGCTCCTGCAGGTTTCAGTGAAGGGGTGAGCAGGGAAGCACCAGGTGTGCGGCTGCACCCCCAGGTGACAGTCGCTCCGAGGTGTTAGGGACCTTTTCTAACTCAAGCTATGAAGAAAATCACCACCTGATTCAAGAGCAGAGGAACAATGCAGAACCAGAAGGACAGGATTTCCTTGTCTTTGGAAGAAAACTTCACCCTCCCCGTCTGCACGTGTATTTTTCTTATACAATGGCATCATTTTTTCTTACGTATCTTTTGAACGTTCTTATCTGAAGACTTATTATACCATCACTAAGGCAAGATTTTGCCTATTATACTTTGAAAATTGCTTTTTTTCATTCATTTCTTTTTTCTTTTTCAGACAAACCAGATATACATATATTGGATTTCTGTATTGTTATAAACTATAATTTCCTCTAAATTTCCTTCTATTTATTTTCTTCTTGCTTTTATTTCAGATTTCCTACATTTACCATCTCCTTTCCTGATTTAAATTTCTGCCAAATAAATCTTTCGCTGTTTCTTACACATTTTAAATTTTGTAATGTGATTATTTTCTCTTTATTTTACGTTTTCTGTTTTGGTTCCCTTTATACCTCATTCTGATATTTATTTGCTAAAGAAGTTTTAAATGAATTTTAAAATAATTTTCTGATTAGTCATCTTTGACAGAATTAGGTTTGTTAGACCCACTATTTACTCTCACAGATTTTTACAAAATAAGAAAATAAGAATATTTCTGACTTCCATTCCCAAAGAGTTGCCAGGTGGTCCTTAATATGGTGCCATGTTAATAAAAATGTCCTATTTGTATTTATCGGTCTCTCCCTTTCCATTTATTCCCTACATAAAAGATGATTTATCCAGTAACCACTGAACAGAGTTCTAAACTTCTTTTTAACTGGCTCATGTTCAGCTGCAAACCTATCAACAGCTCCTTAAGAGAGACTAAAAGCAACTGTGTTTTAATTGGTTTTGGGCTGGTTAGGTTCCTGTCTTTACCATCCTGTAGCCATGGGGAAAAATTATCGTTCTTTGGAGTGAGAGGTGGAAACAATCCAATTCATGTCTGCTCCTTTATGATATAATTGGCAAAAAGACATTCAAGAGACAACCTCAACTGATGATGGTGGTGGTGATAGATTATGGTGATAGTGGTGGTGATGATGATGATGTTGGTGATGGTGAAGGTGATGATGATGGTTATTATAGTGGTGGTGATGAGGGTGATGGTAATGATGACAGTGGTGGTGGTGGTGGTGATGGATTATGGTGATGATAATGATGATGGTGGTGACAGTGGAGGTGATGATGATGGTGATGATAGTGGTGGTGGTGGTGATGGTGGTGATGGCAATGGATTATGGTGATGGTGATGATGATAATAATGATGATGTTGGTGATAGTGAAGGTGATGTTGATGATGGTGATTATAGTGGTGGTGATGAGGGTAATGGTAATGATGGCAATGGTGGTGGTCTTGGTGATGGTGATAGATTATGGTGATAGTGATGGCGATAATCATGATGATGATGGTGATAGTGAAGGTGATGATGGTGATTATAGTGGTGGTGATGGATTATGGTGATAGTGATGGTGATATTAATGATGATGTTGGTGATTGTGAAGGTGATGATGATGATGATGATGGTGATTATAGTGGTGGTGATGATGATGGTGATGATGGTGGTGGTGATGGATTATGTTGATAGTGATGGTGATGATAATGATGAAGTTGGTGATAGTGAAGGTGATGATGATGATGGTGATTATGGTGGTGGTGGCGATGAGGGTGATGGTAATAATGATGATGGTGGTGGTGGTGATGGGAATGGGGAAGACGATAGTAATGGTGGTAATAGTGATGGTGATGGAGGTTGTGATGATGGTGATGATAATGTTGATATTGATGATACTGATGGTATAAATGGTGATGGTGAGGATGGTGATGTGGTGGTGAGGATGATGATAATAATGATGGTGGTAGTGGTGAGAATGGCAATAGCAATAGAAGCTAAAGTGCCCTGTGCCAACTATATTCTCATCAATTTAAATGAAGTAACTGCATTTGGTTCTTGTGTAAATTAAGTAATATTAGCACATAAAGTGCTTGTTATCTAATAATAATATTAATTAAAATAATCCAATAATACTTTTTTGGTACCAGGAATTGAACTCAGGGCCTTGCACTTGTCAGGCAGGCACTTGTGCCACTGGGCTATATCCCTGGCCCAAAAGTCTCTTAAATTAGTCCTTAATTTTTTCTGTTTTTGGTGGTGGTGGTGGTACCAGGGATTGAACTCACAACCTCGTGCTTACCAGGCAGTTGCTTGTGCTGATGAATTAAATCCCTAGCCCACAATAATTATTCTTAACTTTAAAAAGAGTTGTAATGTAGCTGTCATAATAAGAAGCAGAATCAACAATGAGAAGAAGCAGTGGGTTCTGTTATCCTACAAACTTTACAATTGAGACAGGAAGAGGCTCCATGACTAGCTTAAGATGACAGAGATTACAATAATTTAAATACAGTGCTAACATTCTACCCATTATCTATCTGATTCAAATGGTAGCTCAAAAATAGATTCTTATGCAAAAAAATAGGACTTTGAAACAAAGATTATTGTAAGAAATGGAAAATCATACCACGTACTCAAATAAGAAGATGGAATATTTAAAAGATTAAAGTAAGATTTTGTTTAAAACGCAATGAAATTCCAGTGGGAGTGTGCACACACGTGTTTCAGGGGAGATGTTGGTTTGGGGTGTGAAGGCAGAGTCAGTCACACTCTTCAGACACTTCCTTTATTCCTCATACTCCTTGCTTCCCTCGGGTGAAGCAAAACATTAATCTCTATTGAACAGCCACTTGTGGTTGTTTATACTGAAAATTAATTTTCTTGCAGGTTTAGAACTCAGTCTCTCTGTCACATTAGTCACATTTCAAGCATAACACCTATACCTAGCTAATGACTGCTGTGTGAAACACTACAGATTGACCAGCACAGCGGGTCCTGAGCAGGCCTGCAACAGCTTCCTGCTCCCAACCGTGCTTGGCAGAGTCTGGAGTTCTAAGCAAGCTGGTGCCATCGATTCCAGAGGCTGGGTGGCCTGGGGTGAGTATCCCCTGCACCATGCCCTGAGCCCAGCTAGCTTGGGACCCTCACTCAGCCCTGGATAGGGAACTTCACAGCTTCTGGTTGCACTGGACCAGCTTGGTGGGTCTTGAACCAGCCTGCACAGGTCTCGCTGCTCCTTGCTGGGCTTGGCAGACTCTGAAATTCTGGGCTTGCCAGTGCCATCGGATCCAGAGGCTGGACGGCCTAGGATGAATGTCCCTGCACCATTCCCTGAGCCCAGCTAGTTTGGGATCCTCGCTCAGCCCTGAACAGGGAACTTTGTGGCTTCCTGTTGCACTGGACCAACTCAGTGGGTCCTGAGCCAGCCTGCCCCACCCCCAGTGACCCTCTCTCAATCTGGGGAACTGTGCAGCCAGAGTCCCAGGAGCTGAGGGCATAGAAGAGGATTTCCAATAGGCCCTGGGGAAGCCTTGGATAACACTTGAAACACAGAGATATAGGAAAATGCCTAAAATGAAAGACCAAATTACAATCTCAAACCTCCAGCCCATCCAAAGAAATCTTAGGAGCTATGTAAATAGAAGAAAATATATGCCCTACACCTCAAATATCAGACATAATAGCAACTGAAATAAACAAGCAACTCCAGGAAGCTTTAAAGGAATTCAAACTAGAAATAATCTCCCAGGTAAAAGAAGAAATGATAAACAAAATGAAGGAGATGCTAAACATATCTAAAGAAGACAGTTTAAAAAATGGAGGAACTAAACAAAAAGATAGAATCCCTGGATGAACACTATTAGAAACAAACAGAATACATAAAGCAGATGCAAAGAGATATACAGGAAATCAAAAATTCCATTGAAAGTTATAAAAACTGCCTCAACGAAAGTGAAGATACAATTTCAGAGCTCGAAGACAAGATTGTAGCTAGTGAACAGGAAAGGAAAGATCTTTTAGAATTAACAAGGAATGGGGCTGGGGATTTAGCTCAGTGGCATAAGCACCTGCCTTGCAAGCAGGCAGTCGTGAGTTCGATCCCTGGTACCAATAAAAACGAAAAAGACCAAAAAAAAAAAAAAAAAAAAAAAAAAAAAAAAAAAAAAAACCAGGAATCAGGAAATAACAATTCAACAACTGCAAGATGAAGCAAAGAAAAACAACATGAGATTGATAGGGATAAATGAAAATTAAGGGGAAAACATAAAGGATGTCAAGAGGATATTTACAGAAGTAATAGCTGGAAATTTCCCAAACATTAGATCAGAAATCGACATCAGGATCAGTGAAGCATATAGAACTCCAGATAGTCATAACCAAAGTAAAACTGCATCCAGACATATAATAATCATCATCCCAGAAATCCAACATAAAAATAGAATATTAAAAGCTGTCAGAGAGAAATGACAGATCATTTATAAAGGAAAACCTATCAGAATCACAGCAGACTTCTCAGCACAAACAATAAAGTCAAGAAGAGCATGGAGTGAAGTATTCCAGATCCTAAAGGAAAATGATTTCCAGCCTGGACTGATGTAACCTGAAAAACTGACCTTCAAAATCGATGGACAAATAAGATACTTCCATGACAAAGAACAGCTGAAGAACTTCATGATCACTAAGCCAACCCTGCAAAGAATACTGAAAGACAGTTTAGATATACTTAGGGAAACACCACTAAACAAAGCAGACAGTTAAACGGAACAGAAAGATAAAAATGCAACAGCAGAAAGATAACATGCCAACAATAAACCAACATATAACACTCATAACTATTAATGTAAATGGTCTCAATGCACCAATTAAAAGAAATAGACTGGCAGAATGGATCAAGAAACAACATCGAACCATATGCTATTTACAAGAAACTCATCTAGCCCAAAAGGATACTCACAGACTGAAAGTCAAAGGATGGAAAATAATACTTCAGGCAACAGGAACCCAAAAAAAAGTGGGGGTAGCTATTCTGTTTGCAGACAATGTGAACTTCAAACCAGCAATGATCAGAAGAGATAAAGAAGGTCACTACATACTGGTTAGGGGAAAATTTCAAGAGGAAGAGATAACTAACTTAAATATATATACACCAAATTCCAGAGCATCCAGTTATATAAAACAAATATTAACAGAAACAAAAAACCAAATTATCAGTAACACAATTATAACAGGAGATCTTAACACACCATTGACACCAAGGGACAGATCAACCAGACAGAAAATCAGCAAAGAAAGAACAGAACTGAAACACACATGTAAACAAATGGACTTGATAGACATATACAGAGTGTTCCATCCAGCAACATCAGAATACACATTCTTCTCAGCAGTACATGGGTCATTCTTTAAAATAGACCATATATTAGCTCACAGAACATATTTAAATAAAAGCAAAAGAGTTGAAATTATCCCTTGCATGTTATCAGATCATAGCGCCATGAAATTAGAAATTAATGATAAAAGATACTGCAAAAATCCCACAAACATATGGAAACTGAATAACAAACTCTTGAGTAATCAGTGGGTCATGGGGGAAATTAAACAAGAAATTAAGCAATATCTACAAGCAAACAAAAATACAAATACAACTTACCAGAATCTGTGGGATGCAATGAAAGCTGTCCTCAGAGGAAAATTTATTGTACTGAGTTGCCACATCAGGAAAAGAGAGTGAATACAAATAAATAACCTGATGTTACACCTCAAATATCTAGAAAACGAAGAGCAAGTCAAACCCAAAGCCAAAAGAAGGGAGGAAATTATAAAAATCAGAGCAGAAATCAATGCAATTGAGACTAAGAAAACAATCCAAAGAATCAATGAACCAGAGTTGGTTCTTTGAAAGAACAAATAAAATTGATAAGCCCCTAGCCAACCTTATTTTAAAAAGGGAAGAAAGAGTTCAAATTCATGCAATAAGGAATGAAAAAGGTGAAATCACTACAGTCTCTGTAGAAATACAGAAGATCAACACCTATTTCAAAAACCTCTACTCTCAAAGATTTGATAACACAGAAGAAATAGACAGATTCCCAGAAACATATGAGGTACCAAAGCTAGGTCAAGAAGATGTAAAACTGCTGAGTAATCCAATTTCTATTAATAAAATTGAAAATGTAAGTAAGTCCTTACCTACAAAGAAAAGCCCACGCCCAGACAGATTCACTGCAGAATTCTACAAGAAGTACAAAGACTTAATGCCAACACTCTTCAAACTTTTCAATGAAGTTGAAAGGTAACCAGTCCTTCCTAAGTCATTCCTGGAAGCAAATATTACTCTATTACCAAAACCTGAGAAAGACCCAACTAAAAGAGAGAATTATAGACCAATGTCCCTAATGAACACAGATGCAAAAATCCTCAATAAAATATCGGCAAATAAGATGCAGCAAATCATCAAGAAGATTATACACTATGACCAAGTGGGATTCATCCCAGGCATGCAGGGATGGTTCAACATACGTAAATCAATAAATGTAATCCACCATATCAATAAAGCCAAAAGTAAGAATCACATGATCATTTCTATAGATGCAGAAAAAGCTTTTGACGAGGTCCAACATTCATTTATGATAAGAACCTTACAGAAAATTGGAATAGATGGTCTTTACCTCAATATAATAAAGAGCATCTATGACAAACCAGCAGCCAGTATCATACTAAATGGCCAAAAATTGAAGGCCTTTACTTTAAAATCAGGCACAAGACAAATATGTCCCTTATAACCACTTCTATTTAATATAGTACTTGAAATACTAGCCAGAGCAATTAGACAAGCAAGAGAAATAAAAGGGTTAAAGATAGGAAAAGAAGTTAAATTATCATTATTTGCAGATGACATGATACTCTACATTGAATACTCCCAAAACTCCATTGAAAGACTCTTAGATGTAATAAATAACTTCAGCAATGTAGCTGGATACAAAATCAATAGCATTCCTACACACTAACAACAAAATCACAGAGAGAGAAATAAGAGAAACCAAACCTTTCACACCAGCAACCAAAAAAATGAAATATTTAGTAATTACTCTTACTAAAGAAGTGAAAGACCTAGGGAAAATTATAATACACTGAAAAAAGAAATTGAAGAGGATCTCAGAAAATGGAAAGACATCCCTTGCTCATGGATAGGAAGAATATTGTGAAAATGGCCATTCTCCCAAAACTGTTATACAGATTCAATGCAATCCCAATGAAAATACCATCAACATACCTCATAGATCTAGAGAAATCACTCCTAAAATTCATCTGAAACCAGAAGAGACTTAGAATAGAAAGACAGTTCTAAGCAGCAAAGGCAAGGCAGGAGGCCTCACAATCCCTGACTTGAACTTATAGTAAAAAGCAACTGTAGGAAAATCAACATGGTACTGGAATCAAGGGGCCAAACTGGTTTACTGGAAGAACAACAGTCTCTTTAATAAATGGTGCTGGAAAAACTGGTTCTCCGTATGACAAAAACTAAAACTAGACCCATGCCTATCACCATGCACTAAATTAAAATCTAAATGGATCAAAGATCTGAATATTAAAACAGAAACACTAAATCTATTGGAAGACAAGACCCATGCCTATCACCATATATATGTGATAGTATAAACAAAATTTTTTATAGGCAAAGAGATAATATAGAAAGCATTGTTCTTTTTTCTGCTAGTTGGTTCTAAATACCCTGTAATACTGTCATTCTCTTGAATGGTTTCACTGTCTTGAGATGTTTGATGCTATAGTATACAAAGTTATGCTCAAATATTTCAAAGAAAGAGACACTATGGTAACTACTATTATGTCAGGTTATCTTGTGGTGAAACACTATGTTGTTTAATTTGTTCTGTTCTAGCCTGTGTTGTTATGTTGTTATGTCCTCTTTTATCTCAATCTCCTTTTATTTATTTATTTATGTTTTATTATTTTTTAAATTAAGGAAAAAAGTAAATAAAAAAGCAGGATATATTATAGTAACTTTTTTGATTTCCTATCAACTTGATTTGAAGCCCTGTATTGCTCTCACCATCTTGTTTTGACTGATTTTACATTCACTATGATGCCCATTCCGGTTTGACTATTATCTTCTTTTGAAGTCTTGTAAGGTCTCCAATGTTTAGGTTTTATTGGTTTTGTTCTGTAATGTTTTGTTCAATTTTATTATAGCTGATGATATAGGCAACTCTTTTTAAGATAGCAAGAGGCATAATGGTAACCATTGCTGATCACCTAGTATTCTGTTTTTACATCATGTACTATGTCCATCCTTCTGTTCTGACTGTTTTGCTTTGTCACATTTGGTTTCTTTCTGTTCAAAAAAAAAGTAATAAGAACCGTAAGAGTAATAAAACCCAAAATGTATAGTTGCCATTGTAAAAAAGAGAGGAAAAAAAAGTGCTCTAAAGGCTACAACTGCATGTATGTTTAAGTGTGTAAGATAGAAAACCATTACTAAGTTTTTGTTGGATCATTGAACATAACTGTTTGCAGTCTGTTTGAATGTCCACTTCGTATGCTTTAATTTTGTAACTTGAACAACTATTTTTAAGATGACAATATGTAATCTATTAACTAGTGATTTCTTACTGTTTATTTTTTTGAAATTCTGTATTATTTGTACCCTTTTTATTTTTGTACCCTGTTTTGTTTTTTTTCTCTCTCTCTTTAAATAAAATTTTTAAAAAAACACTACAGTCTGCAGAGTATTTCATTACTATAGAAAGTTCCATTGGACAGCACCGTTGAAGACAGTGCATTGGCGTGGGGAGACACATGTCTTTTTAACCCATGGGCAATTCCCCAGAGCCCACCCCTACTGTGGTAACCAAGGAGTAGAGGTTATTTCTAGTGGCTATAAAGTGCTGGAACCTCAGTCAGTCTGGGCACCACTGTAACTCTCGGAAATCTCTCCCCCAGCCCCACTCACATTGGTCCAAGCAGCACACAAACCGGTAAGAAGTGAGCTTCTGTTGTTGTCATCCTGCTGACACTAGAGTCACTGCCATAATTTAACCTACTCATTGGTGACTAAGATAAGACAGAAAGAGTTAGGGTAGATACAAGGCGCAGGATGTGTGACAAAGTTGTGTTAAAATGCAAGTGTTATATTTTTTAAAATTCTGCGAAAGATCAAAGAACAAGTATGTGGTATTTTAAAGTACACTGCAAAGTAACAAGACAGAATACAGGGATGGGCAGAGAGATAAATCAGAGAGGATGGTGAGAATAATGAACTTCCGTGTGAAGTAAAGGTCTCATTTCTAATTGCTTGTGGCCCTCCCCCACCTGCAGTGCCAGCCCAGGGTTCAGTGTCCGGCAGGAGGCCTCCACTCCCTCAAAGACCTGCGGCTCATACAGCAGCCAGCAGCGCAACGCGCGTTTATAATTTTATAATCCCTTAGCCTGTTCTCAATAAAGTCAATTTCCACCCTGTTTTCCTCTTAATTGTAATTGCCTGAGGCATTCCATTAACTTATTATCTGTAACCACTTCAATTCCTTAGAGTTCTACCCACAAGGCCAATCCATTCTTATGAGCCTCACCATTCATACTTTTTAATGAAACTGGAACTTTGGTCTTATGCAGTATAATCTTTATGAAACAGAAGCTCAAGTTGTCTTAAATCTGAATTCCTCTGTCTGTGGTTGCTCATTTCTTCCCTAAGTACTAAAATAGTGTCTATATTCCATAGAAAACATGTCCTATTCTGTATGTCATTGATTTCATTAACATTAGTGTCTAAATTTTATTTTTCTCTTCACTTACTTCACTACTTGTAATCATACACACCTGGTAATAAATATAAGGCATTGTTAGAGACCCATACTATGTAAAATTGTATGTGCAATCTCAGTAATGACATTTACTCCATCTTCTCATGGAATACTCTATTCAAATTTGGCACCATCTACCAATTTAATAGTATTTTTCAGTCTAAATAATGCCTGAATGTCCACTTGTCTTTATTTTTTTGATGCTATATGGAGATACCATTTGTTGAAAGAAGCAGATTTTTAATATTCGTCTGCACACCAAAACAAATACAAATGTCAAAAAATAATAAAACAAAGTTCCTGGGAAAGTAAACGAATGAGAGAACATTTTCATAATTTAGAGGAAGATCTCTACTTTTGACACAAATAGAAAACACTGATAATTTGACTGCAATTTTCAAATGCTTCAGCCACAACAAAAAATCCATATGTATTAAAGCATATTATAAAAATTAAATCGTGAGTAAAAATAAGGATAGTTTTCTAATATGTATGATAGAATTTAAATATTGTATTTCAAAAGTTTAGGAAAAAAAGATGTACAAATGCAAAAATATGTAAACAAGGAAACCTACCTTTTGAAATGCAGAGGAATTGTTCCCACATTTCCCTTTCATTGTGGAAGTCAAATGGCTGATTGAAGCCCAAGGCTGAGGAGGAGCTGGTACGATGGACAGAGGCACAGGGTGAAATAGCACCACTTTTATCAGGGTGGTTTAAAAATGTCGTAGAGTCTAGACAAGTCTCCCATTTAGTAGAGGAGTTATAACATTGAAATCTAACCCAGGGGCAGAAGAAGGAGCCGAGAGACCAAGTCACAGATTAAACTTACAGAGCACTGTTCTTCAGTTGCCTAAAGAGATGACACCCATGCACACGGTAAATGTCAAGAATATACATTAAGAAAATAAAAGAAAGGTGGTTACATAGCCGCATATATATATGTGAAACCATTTATAAGAAATTGTATCTCAGAAATTTTGTACATATGTATACATAAAAATTAATGAAAGAATGTTGATTAAGCAGTTATTATTATGGTGTCTATTTGATGAAATTTCAGATGATCTTTCTCCTTAATACTCTATTGTTTTTGCATTTACAATGTATTTGTATTTGCCACACTAAAAATCATATTGTGTAAATAACAAATAAAACATTATACTGCCCCTAAGTTCTGGAAAAATATCTACAGTATTTGATGGAAACTATTACAATAGAGTTACATCTATATTTATTGCATCTCCAAAATAGGTGGGCTTATTGGCAAAGAATATAAGAGAATAAAAACAAACAAGAAAGAGAACTGACATGTTAATAAACTGACCAAGATCTTTTTTCTTATAAAATTGCTAGCTATCAATGCTAGTTGCTCATTAAATGTATTTTAAGTGTATTGCATGCTAAATACTCTAATAGGACAAGTAGCTTCCTTACAGAAAGACAGACTAAGAGGAGGACAGATACTGGAGTTTTGACTGTTCACAAGGAAAAATGACCAAAGAACAGTTGCAAACGTCAAGAAGTTTATAAAAGATGTGCAAGAGATAGTTACACAGGAGTAAAGGACATGCCATCCAAAACTATGGCCCACCAGGAATACTGATTATTTTAATCTGGGGATATAGCTCAGTGACATAAGCACCTGCCTGATCATTTTAATCTGGAAACATTTCAAAAACAGTAGTTTCAGGAAAGGGTATCTGTCCCAAGTTTTCCTACCTGCAGGAAGCAACAGGGATTTGTTTGGGAAAGTTGCCTTTCCTTTATCAGAGTGGGTGAAAAATAAACCTGAATCTAGTGGACTTTAATAAACTCATTAAAGTAAGCCTTATCTTCCATTAAGTTTATACTTCTTAACTGTAAGCCTCATATCATAAAACATCCCCAGTACTGGTAGACACTTTATCAGAGGAAATACTACCTATGTTCATTAAGCTATGTCAATAAAAGCTCTCCAAAATAGCCTTGATGTCACAGTTTCTTATAAACAAGCCGTGACTCACAATGAGTTTTTTCCTGCTCAATTAAACAAATCCTGCTGAGTCAGCCACTTCCCATGTATATACCATGAACTCTATGAAAGAGTCAGCCTCAGACGGTCCGCACTCCGTCTGACAGTGTTACGTTTTCCTCTGGTCACAGGTCTTCTGGATGGAAGCAAGAGTCCCTGGTATTCACAGGACTCTGCTTCAGGGAAGATTTGATACCGGACATGATAACGTCAAAGTTTTTCAATCTTAACAGCCCAAGGTCTGTCTCCGGGGATTCATCAGAAGGACTCCCTGGTGCTTATCCCAGAAAGACACTCCTGGGATCATGAGGACCTAACAGTGAAACACCAGCAAAACGTGTTCATCTCTGACACTCTCCTTTGGCTGCAGTGGGGATGCCATGAAGCTTCAGAGCGTTGTCCTGTGGAAACAAGAGAGATCACAGAACTGGGTCAGCCCCCGGAGCTGCCTCACAGGCAGCTGGAGGGGAAATTTTGGAATTATTTTAGTGAGTGACTGAGGCAAACTGACAGACATGACAGAAATACTCTGTCTTTCCACTGCAGCTTCAAAGCAGACACACTTTACCTGTTTTATACATTAGACTTCCTGTTGGACTTGGTTTGAGGTACAGGGAAAATTGCAAGACTGAGTTGTACCAAAAGATTTCTGAGAATCTTCTATGGAAAATAAGGTATTGTTTAGCATTTCCTTTGATTATCCAGTTCCATGAGGACTCTGAGACTCTCCTTTTCTTCAAGCTCTGCCACAGCTTGGACTGCATGTGGATAAGTGATAGGAATGCCAAGGACACCTGTCCACAGACCTGACAGTAAGTGTTATGCTTATATCAGGGCAATGATTTTACACCGGATGTCACCTAAATTTTTCTCACCAAAGATACTTTACTGTTAAAAGAACACACATGCTGTGTCATCATTCATGCTATAGAGAAGCGAATTGATCATATCACTCCATGTTTCATAATATACATACACACACGTACTGAGATTTGACTACCTGTGAAAGCTGTGAATTCACATAGACTGCTTTAGTTACCACCCCTCCTTCTTCCTTCCAAACACATGATGTAGGCAGTTACCTTTCCTTGCTTCTGATCCTTTTATCTGAAAAAATCTAGACAAAAAATAGGACTTACTTTTAGCACTGGCAACAGCATTAAATTGGATTATGATTATTAAGCTCTGACATGTAAAAAGTTCTCTATAAATGTTATATGGGTTAAAAGAATATATTTTTGGGTTCATGTCTTAGTCTTCTCTCTGTTGCTATAACAGAATACCCAAAAGTTGTCAAATCATGAAAGAAAGAAGTTTACTTTTGCTCACAAGTCCTTGAAGTTAGGAAGTCCAAGAGCACAGTACTGGTGCCTACACAGCTTCGAGTAAAGGCTGCATTATACACTGCACCCTAACACTGAAGAAGGGCAGAAAAGGTCACAGGGTAGCAGAATAAGCCGAAGACAAAGATGACTCAGGGTGACAATATCCCACTCCGGGGGTGACTGATGCCACTCAGGAAATCTTAGTCCTGTGAGTGAATGGCCTCACTGTCTTCATGACACCAGACCCTCAGGACCCAAACCCTGGACACCTGCCAGCACCACAAGGTTGGGAATCAAATTTCAACACGACTTTTGGAGAGGATAGACCTCATGCAAATCATGGCAGTATACTCACATTGGGAAAAGTTTATTTGCGCAGACAAACTCATAAAATAGGTAACATCAGACTGCAATAGGTTCAGTGTAACCCTGGGAATTGGCTGGGAGTGGTAAAAGAGAAACACCTATGGAGTGGCTGTGGGAGTAGGACAATGTATTTGATTAGAGTGAAAAGCTCCTGATGGGAGGAGCCAGTGAGTAGGTGCTTCCTGGTTGTCTAGGTTAAGTTGTATTTCATGGTTTATATTGCGTTTCTACGTGTTTGGGCAAAATCTAATATATCTAAGAATATGCGCTCTTAAGACAATCGTCTGCTTCATTGTTCCTGAAACCCGAGGGCACGGTAAGCTTCTAGAGTGGTTGCTTCCTTGAAATGCACTAGCATAAAATGTAAGGATACTTGGACTTATCCCTTAAACAGGGTTGTAAAATTGATAAACTACAATTGTGGATATTGAGTTCCATTTTAATGCCATGAAGGCATCTTTCTTGTTTGCAACAGCTATGTGGCAAATTACTCAATAAGACAAAAAACCCTTCTGTAGTACTAATAATTATCTTCTTTGATTCATTACTGGATTTCAGTATTTTAAGTCAGATTCCATACATAAAGAGTATACAAGGAGTAAATTGTTGAAAACAATACTTTTAGAGATGTCCATGTGTCCTAATTATTATTAAGTAGCCAAATGCTCAAATTCTATTGCAATTTAGCAGCACTTTACAAAAATATGGAATACTTGATTGATATTGGCAATAAAATGTAATAGATGATAAAGAATAATATGATTTCATTTTTCACATATGAGTATGACATTTAATTATCACATTTGAGCCTATATTTTTCTCAACAGGATTTACTTAACATTGTAGCATTCCCTGCGAAATTCACCCCAGTGTTTGTACATAGTAGGTGTTCAGGGTGTGTTGTTAAATAATCTAGAAGTTATTGTATATTGTATTTTGTTACCTCCTGATAACCATATGCAACTGTGACCTTGCAGTGAGAACAGCAGCAAAACATCCTTTCTCCAATCGCACAGGGACACCTCCTGTTCATTTTTACTTCTTTCATTATTGCTTCTCCTCTCTGTGCTCTCTTTTGCTCTGCAGTCCTAAGACGCTCTATAATTAGAAGACAGCAAGGCATCAACTACTTCCTCTGGGCAAGTTTGTGCCTTAACACCTCTCAGTGACCTTCCGTGCTAATTAAACGATGGTGAGAATAAAGAACATTGGTACTTAACTGAAATAAAAAGCAATTAAGTGGAAACATTTGGAGGTGATTGTATGTTAATAAGAAATCTTAATCAATGTGTATACCTATGAGACTAACAGAAGCACCTTTGAAGAATTAGCATTTTCTAATCAAACAAAATACAAACTTCCTTGTTTCCTAAGATGTGCATAAGCTCATAAATGTCTTTGATCTGTCTCATAGACAGAAAAATTACTGCCTTCTTTCCTCTCTTTGTTGTCTTCTAGAAATAATGAAATATCCCTGACGTGAAGTTTGCTTTCCTTAATATTTTCATTGGGAGTGCTCTAAATTTTATTCAAAAAATCCAAAGATGGCTTTTCTTCTATCTTTCTAAACTTTGGAAGCACAATAGCAATTTGTATTTCAAATGCCAGAAATAAAATAGATTAAATGCAGAAAGCCTAGAGGGACTAGCGGACTGTGATCAGTGCATCTATTCAGTCTAAAGGACTGAACACTTTAAAAGGACTTTTTAAAAAAAAATCTAAAAGAAGACTATGTGACAAAGACCATGAAGTATGTGCTCTCCACTCACTTAAAGCAGACTTGCCAAGCCCTTATTTAGGTGGTAACTAAAATGGTGTGTCAGTATAACCCACCTATGAAAAAGCATCCTAATCCCAAGTAAGACTGACTTAAGACCTAGCCTGAGGAGTTAAATTTTACTTTAATTTACTCATGAAATCAAGAATTAATTCAATAAATACTTATTCCATTCTAAATATTAACTGAGGAAAGTTCACAAATCTCTCTCAAATGTCTTAACACATGCCCCTATCTCTATTTCCACACAAAGAAATTAGAGTAGAAACCAGTTAAATGTGTTGCCCTGTATGGTCACCCAGCCAGGGCTGGCCGACTCTGATCCCAAAGCCTGAGGAACTTTCACTACGCAGTCTCAGCTTCTTATTGTGAAGAATAGGCAACACCCCATTACTGGTGAGCTTGTTCATATATAAACCACAAGAGTTTCAGAATTTGAGGTAAAATTCTCTAGAAATTAACTTTCATGAGATAGAAAATTTGTTGACAGAGAAATGTAGGTATATACCAATCTTGCCCAGAAAAACTGAATCTGCTATGTTCTAGAATACGGTGTTTTGGAAACATATAGGCTCCATAAATATTCACATACCTCTTAAAAGAATAAATATTTCATATGATATGCATAATGATAAACCCTAGCTAATATGAATAAAATATAATTTTGATTCATTAGTCCGCTTTATCACTCTCATTCAACATCTTTTTTTTTTTTTTTTTTTTGAGAAGGTCTCACTACGCAGGTCAGGCCATCCTTGAGCTCATTTTGTAGCCCAGGCTGGTTTCAAACTCACAATGATCCTCCTGCCTCAGTCTCCCCAGTGCTCGGATTACAGGCGTGCATCACCACGCCCCACTCAACAAATTCTTAAAGCCTATTTTCATGCACAAGATTACTCTTGAACTCATTCTGCAAAACCAAATAAAGTGGAAAGAATACTCCAGCCCTTTTGGCAACTTAGAACCTCCTTCAAGAGCCCAACAACATGTTTTCCATTGCTAAGTGTGGAATGGCATATGGATACAGGCAAAGCGGGCTGAGGAAATGAGCCGGACCTGTTATCACAAGACCCCAGATCTACAGGCGAACCCGCAAGTAGAACTTCTCAGGAAGCTCTGAAACGCAGAAGGTAGAAGCAGGAGGCAGGAAAGCCACTACCTGGGTGGCTTCGCCAGCACCAGCACTGCTTCTGAACGCAGTGTGTACCTTCCTTCCTGCATTTACCCTCCTTTCGTCTTTGCAAAGCTGGTTTCTCTAGACCCGTGTAACTCACACTTTCAAATAAACTTTTCTAGCAGGGATTCTTTGTTCCAGGCAAGAAGGACCTGGAACTCTTCTGACTGCAAAGCTATTTCTAAGGAAAACACGCGTAACTGCTCTGACCCTGCTGACCTCAGGATGGAGTCATCACTGCCCAGTTATGCTCAAGTCCTTGCTGTTCATACCACTCCAGTTAAATCCTGTGCATTGTGGGTGCTGCATACAATGAGTTTAAACCCACTTGACATGAATTATATCACAATGTAATGTTACTCACTTCTATAGCATTGGAATGAAAAAATATTGTTTGCCAAAAAAATGAACTGAAACCAGAAATCAGTTTTACACAAACTAATGAGGCAAATGGTTATCTTGAGGAAATGTTCATAATTTCTTTTTGCAATTCTATGTGTATTTTATCAAAAACCAAAAACTCCCCAAAATTTCTGAAAAGGCAATTTCCAACAATATGATGTGTTGTATTTATACACACACACTAGATAGATAGATAGATAGATAGATAGATAGATAGACAGACAGAGATGCAAATAGATATTCTATTACATGCTAAGGGCAGGAAACATTGCCAGATCCCTTAGAATGGACAAAGGAAGCTATGACTATTGTTAAGGAATTACGCCATAAATAGTTTTAATTGGGAGTGTTGCTTTCTCTCTTTCTTTCCAGGTGAATAAAATAACACACCCATTTCACTTGAAATCTGAGGAAATGGTGCCCTTGTCAAAGTAGTAAGTGGCAGGGCAAGACTGTGTGCATCCAAACCCAAACAAATGATCTGAAGAATGTCAGACTTTAACCGAGGTCTAGAAAGGCTTTAATATCCAAGTAAAACTTGGGTTTTGATTGAAAGGTAAGGTGGATTTTAAAATTTGGAGTGTAGGAGAAGGCACTGTAGGCAAGACAAAGATCATAAGAAGATATATAGAATCAGATAAATTCTAGTATATCTAAGGGGTGAGGTAGACATTGAAAAATGTAGATTGGAGAGGAATTAAAAGTCTACACTGAGTTTTCTGGAGCTCCAGCTGGGAGACTGAGTCCTATACCCTGGTTAATAAGGATGGTATGGTAATTTATTTCATTTTTACTTGGAGAGAATGTTTTATTGGATTTTGAATTCTAGATTTGCTGTTATTTCTCTTAAATAGTATTTAAAAATACTACTGCATTATTTTTAACAGCATTAATTCTGTTAAAAAATAATAAAGTTTTTAACAATCCTTTGTAGTTACTGGTTTTTTTATCTTGTTTTCTATGTGCAGAGTGTTAAATATATCAGCTGAAATTTTTATTAAGTCTTGAAAAATTCTTCACCTCTCCCTCTTTGTATATTGCTCCTGCCAAAATCTTCCTCTCCTCCTGTGACTCTAATTCTATGTATACTGAACTTTATTTTCCTCCCCATAGATATTTTACATCTGTTTTATTGTGCCTTCTATTTTTTCTCTGTGCTTCAGTTTAAATTTTCTGTACTGACCTATGTTTCGGTTTACTAGTCCTGTTTCCTGCTATTAAATCCTATTATTAAGTTCTTAAGTGCAAATATTGTATTTTTCAATTCAGTAATTACCATTTGACTAGTCTGAATAGATTCCAATTCTCCAATAAAGTTATTCAACTTCTGCTTTATTTTCTTGAACATACTAATGTTATTCTAAAGTAATTATCTGATAATTCCAATAGCTCAACTGTGTGATTATTTGCATTGTTTTTATACATTGATTATTTACATTGATTAACTACATGGATTTTCTTTTTCTTTCTTATCTCAGATTTTTGTTTATAGTCCTATCATTTGTCAAGCCTCAAAACTTTTGATTCAGTGCCAAACATTGACTCAACTGTGAAAGCTCTAGGGGATGTGACTCTCTGCTCATCAGAATTTATTTCTTTACTAGCCACAGTAAGGTCGAGTTTCCTTATTTTAACCAGGGACTGAGCCAAGCTAAGGCTGGTGACTTTTATAGAATGTTCAATCATTTTTGCCAACTTTCTTTTGTACACAAGGCTTTGTGCTTCTAGGCTGTGAGCTGAGAGCACTATCTGTTCACTAGGAGCCCGAGTCCCCAAATCCTCAAGTATAACTTCCATGTCCTGGAAAATCCTGATCTCCATGTTATCTATCTTCAGATTGGAGCTGTAGTCTTCTGCATGGTGCAGTATCTTGGGAAGAAAACTGTCTGTGCTGGAAACTCTCAAGACTTGTTTTTTCTCATCTATGGAAACTTGGCGAATAGGCATAGTCTCTGTCCTCCAGAATGACTGTTTCCTGAACAATGTTCTCAGCTACTTGCTCTGCCCAGAAGCACTGGTTACAAGCTGCCTGCTGACTTGCAGCTTATACACCTCTCTAGAATCTCAGACTTTTTACCCAGATCTCTTTAGTGCCCACTGAAGCCTTTAAATTCAAGAGTTTTGCATTTTGCTTATTCTTGAGAAGATTATCACTCAACAGAAAACTAATTCATCATACCCAGCTACAGAATTTTCTATAGGCTCTTAAATAATAGATTAATATTTTTTTAAAATTGGTATTTGATGCATGGAAAAAAGGAAAGAATAAAACTGGTTAAGATGGAAGAGATCTAGACACAGTGAGTAGAAATTATAAGGAAACTTAGAACTCTGAGGACATTGTTTCTATTTTTATACCTCTGTGTTAGATTTCCATTGTGCCAACAAAATAGCGGAGGTAAGCATTTTAAAGAAGGATGTTTCATTTTGGCTCATGGTTTCAGAGGTTCCAGGCTATGGTCACTTGGGCCTGTTGCTTTGGGTCTGTGGTAGGAATAAGGAAATCATAAACTGTGGTGAATGTACATGACGTATGAGGTCTGTTGGTATCACCATGGTGGGAAAGCAAATGAAGAGAGTGACGGGGTGTCCAATATCCCCTTGAGCGTCGCTCTCAGCGACCAAACTTCCTCTCCAACAAGCGTTCTACCACTTCTGGATAGCACCACAGACTGGTGACCAACCCTTCAACACATGGGTCTCTGAAGACCTTTAAGATTGAAACCATAGCAACCGAGGCAGATACTCTTGCTTTACAGATGAATTAACAAAGACTCAGACATTACTATATTGGTTTCCCCCAGATCACATCTTCCACATAGAATACTGCAGCTTTGCTTTGCCATCTCTTAGCTTCAGCTGCTTAGTCTGACAAATAAGAATAATTGTGTCTATTTCACAGAATGATGACAATTGAGATAAAAGCACAAGAGCACATCTCATTTTAGAGGCAATTGAAGTTAACTGGGATGTGTGATAATCATACATGGTAAGACATAGAGATGTGGAAATGAATGTCATGAAGGAAGAATATTTTTTTCTTTGGTCTTCTTTTCTACTATTTTCTTTTTTGGTATTAGGAATCAAACTCAGGGCCTCACACTTGCCAGGCAGATGCTGCACCACTGAGCTACATCACGGCCTAGAAGAAATTTTTTTTTTACATATTCAGATCTATAGAGCAAGAGCCATGCCATGCCACTTGGAGAAGGACCAGGAGGCAGAAAGAACAGGTAAAACAAGTGGAAAAGCCTTCAGTGTGATTTTTGTAGAAGGAAGGTAAGGCAAGGTGGGAAGTTGGGCACTGACTAGTTTGAGCAATTTCAGCAGCCACAGAAGCAAAGCCCAGCCCCTGGTCTTCCGGTGCCTGGCCTTCCATGTTTACACAGGTGATGGGTGGCTCAGAGGGGTGTGAGCAGTGTGAATACCTGCCAGAGGAGGAGGTGGGTGGGGATGGGTGCTGAAAGAGGGGTCATTCCCCATGCAGCAAGATCTCAAGAAGTCAAGAGTTTGAAATGTATGAACAAAAACATGACTAATGAAATATCAAAATGTAAGTGGTATTCTATTGACACTGAGCTTCTGTAAAACAAAAAAGACTAAAAGGAAGATTTAAATCCCACCTTCCTTGCTCATGATGTCATCTGATCCTCGGATCCCTTCTCCCATAGCTTGGTTCAGTTCTCCATATGAAACCTGCAGAATACGATATTAATGACAATCGTATTCAATGAATAAGTTTTAAACTTAAATTTTACATGTTTCCAAGCAGCTGTTGCCTATTATGTGAGCAATTATCTTCTAATAAAAGTCATAACAGAAGCATATTTTCAATAATGTAACATATTGTACACATCACGTCCATTGTTTGTTTTTATTGGATTCTCTACCCTGACTATAAACACATTTGTCATTTGGGCAATGTTCAGCTGTCTTCAAAACTAACAAACTGATGTCCTTGTTGAATATGAATGTTTGGGTGAGTCAGGAATTTAATAGCATTGGAGTCCATTAGTCCAGAACTGCTAAGAGAAGAAATATCTCTTACAGTACAATCTTAGTCTCCTAAAAAGGGAGCAATTAAAAAACTTCAGAATTTATAAATTTACTAACAAAACCAAAGGGTATCATAACAAGTAATCCCAAATTATAAGGAAATCTATTCTAATTATTATTTTAAGTTACAAAGAGCACAGTATATCGCCATAATAAACAAATATTCTTGTGGCAGAAGAAGTGGAGGTTGAAAACACATTAAAGTCCTTTCTTCAAATCTTTGTCCTAAAGGCGGCATTTCTTGGGTGCAGCCTTCTCGTGAGGAAAACCACCGGGTTACCCCTTGTCTCCCCTGTGCCTTTTGGTGTTCCTCCCTCGGGACAGTGAGATAGATACCAATATAAAAGGCATAGTGTGAGGAACACACAGGTGATTAGCATGCATGCCACCTCATGCAGTTATCATTTCTTCATAATCAAAGCATTCAAAATCCTCTTGCCCAGCTATTTCAGAAAATTCTTTACTATATTCTCTTTATTGTACAACTCAACACCAGACTTTATGTCTCCTAGCTACTTGAATCTCTGTTCTAGTTCATCAGCCTATTGCCAACTTCCCCAGCTGTTAACGCTTAGATCTAGAATGTCCCCTCAGACTCTCATGCATTCAGGGGGAGAGGGCTGCAAGGTGATTGACTCATGGGTGTGTTATGATTGTCAGTGGATCCATCCACAATGAGTTCACCACTGACTATGGACATAGCAGGTGGGGTGTGGTTGGACTGGGTCTCAGGGAATATGATTTGGAAGGGTCCATCTCCCTCCTTACCTCCTCCTCCTCTCTCTGCTTCCTGCCACCATGAGCAACTTGCCCCTGCCAGACCTCCCACCTTGCAGTTTCTGGCTGGAGCAGCCAACCAGGGACTGTAAGTGTGAGCCAAAATAACCTCACCTCCTTTAAGTTGCAAGGGCTTGGTGCCTGACCCCATCAAAAGTAGAGTAACTAAGACCCCCATCCTTATCCCTTCCCAGCTTTGGCAACCAGTATTCTGTTCTTTACTTTGAAGAGGTCAACTTTTTAGATTGCACCTATCAGTGAGACCACAGGGAAAGACTATCTGACATTCTGTAATTAGTGCTACTGTGGGTCAGGACAGCCAAGCGCTCCCGAGGCCCTTCATGCCATAGGGCTCATCCGGGACAGGCACCTCCACTAAGAGACACAGGGTATATTAGCCCACTTAACTCTGGGTTCATCATTAAGCTAGCCCTGGGAATTATTAGCATTTTTTTGATTTCTATCTTTTATGATATGTTGTCTTGATCTTCATCTTTATTCTTTTACTGCTTTAATGGTATAGAAACTGAACAAGAAAGAAACCACTTCACTTGGGAACATTTTTTTTTTTTTGGAGACTTCTATGTAATGCAACTCAATACCTCTTCATCACCATTATACTGCAGAATGTACAATTACTTCCATAGTCTTGGTTCTTTGGTGCCTTGGCATTTAAATATGAGGTGAAAACACCGGTTTTTTCTGTTTCTTTTTTCCATGAACTTTATGTTAGCCTACTTATAGCAATAGTTTCATATCAAAATCTTAAAAGGCCTGGGCTTCTCTAGAGATTTCAGACGTTTACATTTAGATGTAGGATACGATTGGGCTGGGTGATAGAGAATATCTGAGAGGGTAAAACTGAGAAAGTAAGGCAAACACATCAAGATTTTAGAACTTCATCTTAGCTTCAAAAGAAACTTTTAACTCATTTTTTGGTACACTGGCCTGCCACAAAGGCATATGTTTGAGAACATTTGCACTACTTGGAAAAAAAATAGCATGTTGAACATTATAATTCCCTAGAGTTTTTCTTGATTAGAGAAATATTTAGCAAATTTATTATGGTATAAGGTTTTTTACACATGTCAAAAAAACTTTTTTCTTTGGAAAATTTTCTCTAACTTCCTTGGTATGGGAGCTATATCCTGAGAAATATAACTAAGCTCAAGCTTGAGACTAGGTACTGACTTGGGAAAAGAAAATTTCTTGAAACAGTCATATAGTTTATGTGTTCCTAGCTTCCAAGTGACTCACAAAAATAATAATGATATTTAATCTTATGCCAGTGTTTTAGTATGTTTAGTGTTGCTATAACTCATTACTATAGACTGGATAATTTCAGAGAAAAGTTCCCACATTTCTGGAGGATAAGTCCAAGATCAAGACAGGGGTGCATTATCCCATTTTCTATTGTTATAACAACATATACAAGGCAAAGTATTTTAGTAAAAAAAAAAAAAGAGCCTTACTTTAGCTCACAATTCAAGGCTAAAAATCCAAGGTTGAGTGCCCTACTATTTTAATCTGTGGTACAGGCCCTCCTGACTGCCTGACATCATGGCCAAAGTCATCACGGAGGGAGTAATCACATTGAGAGACAGGAATTCAGACAGAAAGCAGCCACTGTTGTTCTTTTTAAAACAACAGACTCCCACAAGAACTAACCAGAGTCTCACAAGAACTACACGAACTCTTTCTGAGGGCAGTATCCCCAGCCACAGTATCTGATTACCTTGACGAAGCGCCACCTCTGCATGGCTCCAACCATCTTGAGCTGTCACCACAATGGAGATCAAGGTTACAACACACAAACCTTCGAGGGAAACTCTTGGCCTGTATCTAAAACCAGCATCCGGTAGGGGCCTCCATCACCTCACACAGAGAGGAGTACAGGAGCACACCTGCTTGGGTCTCTGTCTTCTCTTAAAGCCACTAATACCATCAGGGGCGCCCCATTCCCTGTCTTTATCCAGCCCTAATTCCTTCCCAAGGTCCCACCTCAAAATCCACCATCATGTAAGTTGAGGTTAACTTCCCAACACTTTGACTTTGGCAGACACATTCAAACCATAACACCCAGCGACTGCTGTTTTCCTTCTCTATGTACCAACTCGCCTAATCATCCTAACAACACTATCGAGCATGTATTATTTTTCAGGTGGTAATAGTGAAATACAAGAGATTATAGGATTTCCCAGGGTAAGACACCTACTTCAATAGTGGGGCTGTTATTAGAAATATGTGATAGTTTTCAAAAACAATGATCTTCCACCATTCTGAAATTCCACCTGGATTAGTTCCTGTAATGCCCTCAATGATCCAGAAGTTAAATACAAGTGAGGTAACTGAAGTTTGGAAACATGAGTGACACAGCCAGTGCAAGCTGGCGACAGAACAAAGATCCAAATAGGACACAGCTGATGCTAAATCTTTGTTTGCTCTGTTTTTTGTTTGTTTGTTTTTTTTTTTTTTTTTGCCTCCTCTGTCAGTGGAGCTAATTTCTGATGATTTCACAACCTAAGCAAATCACGTTTTAAGTTTCCTCATGCACAAGGCTTTAATTACATCTGCTTTGAGGCATGATTCTAATGAACAGAAGAAGCACATGTGAGCTGGACTGTGTTGTGAATAGAAGGTGTATTTGCTGCTTTATTTTGGGATGCAGGGATTGTACTTCCCGTGATGCTTTTCACCTATTTCTCAGTATTGGCAAAGGCAAGCAGGAAGAGATGTATCTTTTAACAACACAGATTTCATCCCACGGCTTTTGATTATTCATCCTTCTGAGTGATGGAGTCTCGTCACATTCAGTCATTCACCCTAAATGCTTGGCGGGCATCCAAACTAGTTATTTGTTCAACTCAATCTAAATTTATTGTCTTAAATAAACCACACCTGGCAAATAACTCATGCTTAAAAATGGTCTTTAAAAGTGAGTGCTAATGTGACATTGTCAATTTCAAAAATCATGGGTGATTTTAAGGATTTTAATAAAATAATTTAAAAGCTTGACACTTATTTATTGCTGCACTGCTTTCTATAACTGTACTTTGATTGGTTTTTACTACTTACTAAGTAGTAATTTTTTAATAAAATATAATTTACACTTTTAAAAGAGATCAGTTATGAGCAGTGTATATATGAGCAATGTAAATATGAAACCTTTCTTGAAGAGCCAATGCTTTGTTTCATTTAATTTTCACGTTTTAAAAATGTTAATGTCAGTGGCTTCAAACAGATCAAAAGCTAGTTGTATTTAATCTCCATAAAAAGATATGGGAGTTCATTTATAATTCTGGAAGCACACTGAGGACTATGAAAAATTTTCTCATTGCATAGAATGAAAATGAAGGAGAAGCAGATTAATAATATGATCCCAATTATCACAAGTGCTGAACCTCAGAATCTACACTGAAAGATAAAATGATATAAAAACATTTAATCGATATATTTGAGCAACCCAAGATTAAAATCAGTCAATAAGACTCCAGAAAATGTTTTTCATTTCAATCCAATCAAGGTACAAAGTGAAGGAATTATTGGCATGAGTAACCCATAAAACTCTATCACCAAAACAAATTATACTATTTGAATGCAATTTGTGGGAGCAACTGAATTTTGTGCATTTATCATATTATAAGTAAATAACACACACATGCCAAAATGTCCCATTAAAGATAATTTGTATAACTGACGCAGCTTTCCCCTGCCTCTTCCAGCTCCAGGTCCAGCTTTTTCAGTCACAGGATGGAGAGCAAGGTAGGATTAGGGCACCAGGCTAACATGAATCTGGCTTTTCTAGATTGCTTATAAACATTTCCTTTCCTGGGCCACAGAAAATATAAAAATAAGCAAGTTTA